CCCCCCCGGGACAGCCGCGGCCCCGGCCGGGCGACGCGGCCAACGAGGGCCCTCGCGGGGCGACGGTAGCTGCAGGTGAGTGTGGCACCCGTGGCCCGGCGTGGACGGACGGATGGACACGCGCACGCGGGCGCCCTCCCCGCTCCCCGCAGCCAGCCTACGCTCGACCCTGCGGCTCCACGAGGGTCCTGCGTCCCCTCGGGGACATGGGGAGGGAAGGGGAGCCGGGAGAGGGGGCGGCGGGGACCGGGCTTGCCCCTCGCTCCGCGGGCTGGGCTCGCTTTCTACCAGGGCGCACGGGGCTGTGGCCCCCAGAGTGCCCCGTGGGGGGCGCTGTGCCCTGCAGTGGGGACCCCAGGGCCCCGTCTGCAAGGCCCCTGGGGATGGGGGACTTGTTGAGCTGGTATCCAGCTGGGGGAAAATGATTCTGTGTGTCCCCTGCCCTCCCCAGGATGGTATTTCAGTGTCGGGGTTATCTGATTTCTTCCCTGTTCTCTATAGCGGCCTCCCTGTATTTTAGAAGAGAGAGGGAGGGAGGGGGAGGAGAGAAAAGGTATGTGTGTGAAGGGAGGGCCATTCTGGTGGTTGGGGAGGATAGAAAAATGGACACTGGTAGGGTCTATCAGGATAAACTCTAGATAAATCACAATGACAATTGTGGCAGTGCCCACCAGCTTACAGGCCAGAATAGGTGTAGCACCCAGCTACTCAACCCCTCAGTTTTCTCATCTATCTGGTGGGTTGGTGATCGCCACAGGCTTGTGAGATTAAATGAGATAGGACAAGTGAAGTCCTGAGGATAATGCCTGGAGCCTCTTAAGATGAGGTGGTGAGCTCCAAAACAGGAAGGGGATTGGCACACACACACACACACACACACACACACACACTCACTCAGGAAGAATGCCTCCTGTGGCTACCTGTGCCACAGGTGTTTTTTTTTTTTTTTCTTGGTTGGTTGTGGGGCCTGAACTTTAGGCTTCAGTGCTGTCCCTCAGTTCTTCAGCTCAAGGCTAGTGCTCCACCACCTGAGCCACAGTGCCACTTCTGGCTTATTTTGCTTATGTGGTGCTGAGGAATCAAAACCAGAGCCTCATGCATGCAAGGCAAGCACTCTACCACTGAGCTACCTTCCCAGCCCCTGCACAGGTGTTTAACTGGATTTTTCCATGCAAAATGCTACTCCTGTAGTGTTCTCCCTGCTTGCTTTCAAATCAAGAGCTTGACAAAGGAAGATACCAAGCTGGGTTTCCTCTCTGGCTCTGAAACACCTGTGGCGCCAGGTGCTAGGGGCTCACACATGTAATCCTAGCTACTCAGGAGGCTGAGATCTGAGGATTGCAGTTTGAAGCCAGCTTGGGTAGGAAAGTCTGTGAGGCTCTTAACTCCAATAACCTACCCCCCAAAAGCCAGAAGTGGAGCTGTGCCTGAAGTGGTAGAGCTCTAGCCTTGACAAAAAGAAGCTCAGGGACAGCATCAGGTCCTGAGTTCAGGCTCTAAGACCAGCACCAAAAACAGAAAAGAAAACAAACGAAAACCCTGTGGAGAAGTCAGATACTGGTACCTCTTCACCTCCCAGTTTTCTTCCCACACTTTTTTTTTTTTGTCAGTTGTGGGGCTTGAACTCTGGGCCTGGACACTATCTCTGAGCTCTTCAGCTCTAGACAAGGGCTTTACCACAGCACCACTTCTGGTTTTTTGGTGGTTCAGTGTAGATAAGAGTCTCATGGCTTTTCCTGCCTGGGCTAGCTTTGAACTGCCACCCTCAGATCTCAGCCTCCAGAGTAGCTAGGATTACAGGCGTGAGCCACCAGCATGGAGCTCTTTCCACACTTTTATTCCTGTCCATAGAGTTCAGTCTCCCAAGTTGCAAGGCCCAAAAGAGCTACAAATCAGGCCTCCAGGGATTTTGACTGTCAGACCTTGGCAAACTGGAGCACCCAGACCTGAGCTCATCACCAGAGGTACCAGAGCAGAGTGCAAATCAGAAACAGCCTTGGATAATTGTCAGGCCCTAAGCTCCCAAGAGTAACACAACTTAGGTCTCTGTATGCCAAAGACAGCTGAAATGAGGTCTGAGATTTAAAGAAAAGGGAAGAGATGTTGCTCTTTGGAAAAACAGGGAATGAATAATAGAGCCATTGGAGGACTGGAGAAAATCTCAGTTTCTCCAGAGGCAGTTCTTATGGGTACCTACAAAAAAGGCCAAAAAGTAGGTTGGCTAGGGAAAGAGAAAGAAGAGAGACCGAAGTCCAGGAAAAGCAGACCTGGTGGGCAGTGGCAATGGAGATGGTAAGATGGGAGCAGAACCAGGGTGAGATGTGAGAGCAGCCAAGGAGACAGCAAAGGCATCTCTGGGTCTTGATCTGAAGCATGTGGTCCTCTCCTAGGGTTTCCTGTCTTCTAGGAGAGCTAAGGAGGGCCCCTCTGCTTCGTGCATGAGTACACATAGAGTGATTCAGGAGGCTGGGGGTGAGGGGAGACTGATGTCCAAGGAGAGAGTGGAGCCTGTCTCTACTGTTGCTAGGAAACAGTGCCAGGGAGGCCCTTCCAAGAGACCCGTGGCCACTTGGAGCTTCAGCCCATGAGGTCATCCTTGAACTCTGCCATGTAGCTCAGCCACCACTGCCTGAAGGAAGCTCAGGGTCAGGACTAGGCAGAATTCCAGAGGCCTTGGCTGCTGTCAGGCATTAGTGGTAATGACTATGTCAGTGAGTGACTTGGAGGGTGATGAGAGGCAGTGGGAGCACCACCAGAAGCACATAGCTCTCAACACCTGAAGGATCTGGGTTCTAGTTACAATTTCATACCAATAAGTGCTTCAGTTTCTCCATCTGTAAACAATAAATAGGATTTGTGGACAATGAAGCTAGTTACAACATATGACATAACAAGACAATGGCTGACTCAGAGTAAATAATTATTAGGCATGCTTACTATTACATTGCTTTTAGTTAGATCATTTGTCAGATAGATACAATACTGCATAAGATTGTTTTAAGTGTCAAATGAAACAATGACTGTTAATGTCTCTGACACTGTGTAGGCTGCATATATATTCAGAATGAGTTGACTAAAACTGAAATATTTGCAAAACATCTGCACGTAAAAGTCAGTGGTTGAGTGGAAAGTTCTTCTGAGTATTGCCAAAGAACCTTGGTTTACCTGTGGTTCTCACTGACTGGTGGAACACTCAGTGTTCTTCCAGGTTGATTGTGTTAGTTTCCAATGACTGATGTAACCAATTGCCACAAAGGTAATGGCTTAAAATAAATTTATGATCTTACAGTTCTGGTGACCAGGTCTGAAATGGGACTCATGTGGTTCAAATGAAGTGTCAGCAGAAATGCACACCCTCTTCAGGCTTCAGGGAAAATCTGTCCCCTTAGGTTTTCTGGCTGTAAAAGCCAACTATATTTCTTGGCTCCTGGTCTTTCCATCTTTAAAACTGGTAAAAGTGTCTTCTAGCCAGGCGCTGGTAGCTCATGTCTGTAATCCTAGCTACTTATGAGGCTGAGATCTAAGGATCTACCTGGGCAGGAAAGTACTTGAGATTCTTTTTTTTTTTTTTTGCCAGTCCTGGGGCTGGGCTCTGCCCCTAAGTTTTTGTGCTCAAGGCTCTCGTGCTCTACCACTTGAGCCACAGACCCATTTCCAGCTTTTTGTGGTTAACCAGAGATAAGAATCTCAAAGGGCTGGAAATGTGGCTTAGTGGTAGAGTGCTTGCCTAGCACACATGAAGTCCTGGGTTCAATTCTTTAGTACCACATAAACAGAAAATCCTGGAAGTGGTGCTGTGGCTCAAGTGATAGAGCACTGGCCTTGAGCACAAAACTAAGGACAAAGCCCAGGCCCAGAGTTCAAGTCCCAGGACCATACACACATACAAAACTTTTCTAACCTGTCTCTCTTTCTGCCTCTGGGTGTCTGTCCTTGTCTCCTCCCCCTCCCCTTGTTTTTCTTCCTTCTTTCTCTTCCTTGTCAATCCTTTTTCTTCTTTCTGGCCACCTTTCCTCTCCCTCATTCCTGTCTCTCTCTTTAAAAAGCCCTTGTAACTACATTGAGCCTACCTGGGAAAATCCAGGTTAAGTTCCTCACCTCAAACTCAGTCACCTCAACAAAATCCTTTTGTGAGCCCCAGCCTTCTTCAAACTCAGAAGTTGTTCCTAACTGTACTTTTTATACGTTCTCCCTTTCTTTGATTCATCTTGACTTTTATCCCCAGTCCCTCATGACAGACTTTTTCTTCATCCACATCATTTACTGACTTTTCCAGCCCAGAGTTTCTGGCTTGTTCTCCATTTTCAGTGAAATACAAAGTCAGATGCCTCCACCTCATGGCAAGATCTCTGCTAAGAAAATCCCCACCTAACATGTTTGTGTTTGACTCCTCTGAGATTTACTGCAGAGGGTCTCTAATACTTCCTGCTGCTGATGTAACAAGTTACCACAAACTCAGTGGCTTAAGATTATATAAGTTTAGGATGTCAAAGTTGTAGAGATCAGAAATGGTTCTCCTATGGGGGCAAAATCAGAGTGTTGGCAGGCTGGAGCCTCTGGCGGCTCTAGGGGAGAAATCATTTCCCTTCTGTTTCCATCTTTTCATAGGCGTGAACCTTTTTTCTGCCAAGGATCATTTGGATATTTGTAACCTCATTATGGGCCATATGAAATGATCAATACAGGCAGACAGCCACTGGCAGCTGATGAGAGGTATATGAGAAGTATAACTTGTCTGTCCTATCCTATACCAAGTAATTTGGTGGGGGCATTACAGGGCCTACCGCTAGATGTTCTCCACCCCTTGTAAGCTGCTCTTGTCATTTGGCTCTTGTTATTAACAGCCCATGAACAGCAGGCTGCCTATTAACATGTTATAGTTATTTCTCTGGTTCTTCAACTTTTATTTTTCTAATTTTAGTTGTGTGTGTGTGTGTGTGTGTGTGTGTGTGTGTATGTGTGTATGTGTGTGGTATTGGGAGTTGAACTGAAGCCCCCATGCTCTCACTTGGCTTTTATTGTTCATAGCTGGTGTTCTACTAATGAAGCCACACCTCCACTTCTAGAGTTTTATG